TAAGTGAAATATGGGAAAAGGCAATAATATCTGCACAGAAAAATAATATAGTGATATTGCACCATATTAAAACACATGTAAGTAGGTACTTACTTAGCTTATAATATGTATTAATATATGCTCGTTGATCTACTACTTATGCACACTTCTATTTACAGATCTCCTTCACCAAGGCATAGAATAAATAATATTATGTAGTACTACGTTATCAAGGTTTGCCTGGAAGAGATTACTGTTTAGCGATGAGGCCACCTAATTGTACTTAAATTTATAAATTAAGAGTGGTGTGTTATTTTAATATGTTGTGTGCAATAAAGAGTATAAATTAATTAATTAAAACGTTGCGAAATGGTATGTAAAATATGTAAGGTACCTATTCTGACTGATTGAATGAACATATTTTTGCTACTATGTGAATTCTGTGCCTAACGCACGCAACTTGCAAGGTCACTCGTCGCGAATCGCAATTTAATAAATCGCTCAGAAGTAATAGGTAGGTGGTGTAAACGACAAATAAACCCGAAATACGATTCCGTAATGAAATGTGATTGTATTCTAATTAGTTAAAAATCTTGTAAACAAAGTTTTAATTTCAGTGCTTTGTGATAACTTAAAATATTTTAATCACAAAAGACATGTAAGCTACCTAGATAGTGAAGTAAATTTCAACTAAGTTTTGAAGTAAAGTACTTAGGTATTACTTCTGTGTTTAAATTATTACTTAATTCTTTTTTGCTATAAGTATTTATTTAAAAAAATTGAATAAATGTATCTTTCATTATCCTTAGGTAACATAAAAAATGATATTATCTGAATCCTTTTGTTTGCTCATTAGGCATCCATCCACGCAACAATTATAGTAGGTTCGAAGTTTTGCCATTATAATTTATCGAATAGATAGGTAATTAATTAAATATTATTTTTAAACCACAATAAAAAAATTGAACTATTTTATCCCACAATTAAATATACTTACTTACTTACTTACTTATCTTAACGCACGATCCCTAACGGGGTAGCCAGAGAGAACAGATCGCCAAGTGTCACGATCTTTACCAACCTCTTTCGCTTCTTTCAGGTTCATTAACTTCTTCATACATGCACGTACAATTAAATATACTAAACAAAAATTACAACAAGTGTTTACAAAAACTATTCACGTAAACAGCGTTAAAATTCATCAACCGCCTACGACGCGCTAGCCCTGCACTCTGGGCGAATCGCGATTTTAGGTAATTATTTCACGCAGATAGCAAGAATGACAGAGGCCTGGTAATGATGTCCACTGCATTAATTAAACTGTATGATGAAAACAATCGTGAGCACAGAAAGTCAGAATTTATAACTATAACTGTAACCTATTAACTGTGTTGACAAATCTTGACGTGGCATTAATAATGCACATTCGCAGTTTTGTGATAACTGAGTCGCGTAGTCATTAAGTAATTAGATGAAAGTTTTACAACAAATCTCCAATGTTTTAATTTATCAACAATAACTGATCACCTACCGTGTCATAAAATTGATTAGACGAATCTGAATATTCCGTCAAATATTTGTTTAGCAGGCCCCTATTTTCACACGCTTGCTTCGATTGACTTAATGATCGGCGCAGAAATATTTTGGGATATATTAGGTTCCCAAAGAATGAAACTAGGAAAAGGGAAACCGATTTTTTGAGACTAGACTAGAATAGTAAGTTTCAGGTCCGATTACTTCTTCATTTCATATTAAATGTAACTTTGGAAAATTAAATAAGATCTTAGAAAATAGCATAGAAAATCAACTCACAAAATATTAGCGTCTTGAAGAGGTGGATTCAAGATCGCTCTATTATCTTCCTGAAGAGAAACTATGTGAGAAGATTTTTGTCAAGAACACAACCCGTTTCACTGACGGTCATATTTGTGTTCGTATTCCCCTCACGCAAAATCCTGATAATACATCAGCAGAATCTTTTGAAAGAGCTGAGCAACGTTTTTGGTCCTTGAAGCGTAAACTAAAAATGAGCCGGAACTAAATAAAATGTATTACGTTTTATGTTCGAATATCCGTTTTAAGGACACATCGTGTCTAAATGCAACGACAGTGAATATGTAAACAAGCCTTATTTCATCCCCCACCATGGCGTATTGCGCGAGAGTAGCATGCCAACAAAATTAGGAGTTGTATTTAATGCTAGTGATCCAACTTCAACACCCTATGCACAGGCACTTGTAGCTTATACTCTGGTGTCAAGACTCATCTAAACCGGTGAAAATTTATCAGTTAAATACTATGACATACGAAATGACTAGTGTGCCTTTTCTTGCTACTCGATGTATAAAGCAAATAGTTCTCAAGTGTAAAGACAAAATTTTATCAGAGATTATTTTGCGTAATTTCTACGTCGACAACTTATTGACGGGAACTTCAATTTAAGAAATGAACTTAAAGACGTCAAGAATATTAAAAAAAGGTAACATTCGAACTTGCTTCGAGACTTGAGCTTTGTAGCGTTCTCACTAGTGCGCGACTTTATGAAAAGGTAAATAAAAGTAGGTAAAAGCCAAATTAGTAGTACTATATTCTGAACCGACTCCACTATAGTATTGGGATGGTTGAAAATGTCAGCCGCGAAGTTTTTGCGCAACCACCAAAAAATGTTACTTTACTACCCGAGTTTAAACCGGAAGTCTCACTAAATGTACCTGATAACGATAATACAAATTTTTTTGAATTAATTGAATTTAATAAGTTTTTCAATTTTAAGAATTAAACGCGCTGTAGCTAAGGCCTTACGTTTTTTTAATAGAAAACAGATTCCTTCTACTATATATTTAACCGAGTGTGAACAACAAGGTGCGTAGAAAATCATTATTAGGAAAGTACTAAGGGGTCAGATTATAGCATGCTCCTTAAAGGATTACCTTTGCACAAAAAATTCCATTACATAGGCTTACAGTATTTTTAGATAAAAACGATGTAACGCGAGTAGGAGGTCGCTTAAAATATTCAAACATTTCTCATGATAAGAAATACCCTATCTTATTACAGTCTGCACACCGTTTTACTCGATTGTTATTCGATTACCAACATAAGAATTTAATACAACCGGTACCTCAATTACTGACAGCCTCATTGGTCTGGTGGTTGTAGTAGTGTGACGGCTGATCGTGAGGTCCCGGATTAGAATCCCGAGTAGGGCCAATAATCAATTATTGAGTTTCGCCGTTAAGAAATTCTCTGTAGCTTGCCCAGAGTCAGGAAGTTGGCGGTGTCTCACCCCCGTGCCTCGGAAAGCACGTAAAGCCGTTTATCCTGCGCTTGATCTCTCTCCGGTCGTGTTGATTTACCGTCCCATCGGATTATAAGAGTGTGGGAATACAGAGTGCACCTGTACTTGCGCATACACTTGGCACTATAATCCTGTCCTGCACCGATGGCTAGTCTCCGTTGAGACTGGCGGCTGTGACCGAAAGTCGGTCTGGAGGACCTTAATTACTATTAGTTACAAAATGAAAATCGTATTGGTCAATTGTTAGTCGAAATCTGGCGGTTAGCTGCTACCAACAATGCGTCCTTTGTAGTCGCATGAAAGGCAAGGTCGCAGCACCATTAATGGGGTTATCTAGCACAGCAGCGTATTTAACCTGTAGGCTAACCCTCTAAAAATGTAGGGTAGACAATGCATGGACTAGGTCGCGAGACCTTGGCAACTAGCAAATAATAGATAATGTCGTTTGGTAAAGGTGTACATAATCGTATTTGTGTGTTTCGCTACCAAAGAAATTCACTTACAATTGCTTGGCAATTTAACAAGCTATATTTATGTACTGACCTTACTAAGATTTCTATCACGAAGGGCTAAGCCAAATAGTATTTAATCCAATAACGGTACCTCTATTATTAGCGCGTGCAATGAATTTTCTACATTATAAAAACCAATTGCAATTTACTGTGCGAAAAAATGGGTAATGATGTGATTAATTTCTATTTTATTCCTGTGTATTCTCCACACTTCGGTGGACTCTGGTAGGCGGGTGTTAAGTCAACCAAGTTTTATTTACAAAGAGTGCTGGAAAATTTTTATTTCACTCACAAAGATTTTAATACTACGCTGGTGCAAATTAAAGCGATATTGAATTCTAGGCCTTTCACGTCATTGTCATTCGACCCAGATGATTTAACGTCACTTACACCAGGTCACTTTTTGATCGGGCGACTGCTCACATATTTACCAGACGGAGGTTATAAAAAGTCATCAAACTAACCCTTTGAACCCCTTTTAACAAATTGAGCATCTCCGCCAACTATTTTAGTCCAGATGGTGTAAAGAGTATGTTTCTGAACTGAATGAAATGGCGTTTCAGCAATGATGATTTGAAATAGAATTCTCTCGTTGTCTTAAAAGAAGACAATCTCCCTCCATTGAAATGGAAGTTGAGTTGAGTCGTTGCTGTTTGTCGCAAATATTAATATGTCTGCGTGACTAATTCGACGATCGTCCAGTAAAATTTGTCCACTCCCTGTGCCTTCTGGTTGAAAGACGCGCTTTCAACGCCCGCTCGGGGCATGTCAACGCCTGACTCATTTTGTTAGCAACTATACGCCTAAGATAGTTATAGTTTTATTTATAACATTCTATGTTGTAATTTTTTCGACACTATCAGCTTATTGATTGTATCTTTGGATCTCGCATTATAATTATAGTCCTTTACCAGATCAATCTCTTTTATTATTTCAAAATTTGTGATAATCGAAAACAACTTCCTTGAAAAATTTCTCATTGTATTGTATTGATATGCACAACGAAGTGTTTATAAAATTGTGTATGTTTTGTGATAGTGTCATATATTATGTGTATTCTAAGTATAATTGTTAAATAAATAAATAAAATGCTATGGCCAATGAAGGGCAATAAAACCAGATATACATTAACGTGAACAACGGGATTTTTGTCACATATTGTATAACCGATGCTACCTGATAGTGATAATGACATATAATCATCTACATACCATCTGAAGGTTCCTTCGAATCATCAACGGGATCATTCCATTCTTGTTTCTCACTGGTACCGAAGACGATGAAGAAAATGTTGCATGCGACGTAAATGGCCGATGCCACGTAAAACACTTTCCGCCATTCGTTAGGATCCGTCTGTTGGAAAAAATTAAACGGAAATACTCAAAACATTCTGCGCGAAACATTAAAAGTAGGTAGTCCAAAATTAAAAAAATATTATTTTTAACCTTCCAGCGGTCGCGCGCGGTCTCTGAGTTCGCAACGAACTTATTTTAGTCAATTTACTAAAACTATAAATATTAGACGCTTGTGCTTCCGTAATATCCTCGGGAAGGTGAGGTGGCACCCTTCAGTAGCCCCGTGACATTCGTAGCATGCACAGATGCTTTCTTATGTGTTTGCGGTCTCAGATTCCGCGTGCGACCGATTGTGTTCCAGAACAATCCAGTGCAATTAAAGTGAAACCGGGGTAAATATTTTATGTTTTTTGTGTGTCTTATTATTTTTTAATGTTTTTTTTATTATAATATCATAAAAGTGTGTTTTTATAACATTTATTTTTGTTGTAGACAATGAATTACGAAGACTTAGATTTTCTAGTATAGGTACATCTAGGTGATAAAATCGACGAATCGACATGAAAACCTGATACGGTACTAGACTACAATACTACAAAATCTGGAGTCGACGTGGCCGTTGGTATTGTTTCATACTTTAATCAATATTACAACTGTAAATGCACAAATGATTTTTGAACACAACAATGAAAAAGTGTTGTAGGACGAAGATTTATTGAAGAAAATTCTCATTCATTCATGGAAAATCAACTGAGATAAAAGTATATTCTTCGACTATTTCTCAAACTATCAAACTGAGAATAAAAGAAATCTTGCTGAAATATTTCTAAAATGGCCAAGAAACATCGTTTTCAAACCAAGTTCTACGTTTTGTAGGTCGTTGTTACTATTGCGATAGGAAAAAGAACCGCAAAACAAAGTATATTTGTTTCAAATGTGGAAAACACATGTATCTAGAACAAGTGATTGTTATATGCCGAGAATGTTCATCTCAGGTAGACATTATAGTTCATTGCAGCTTTTCTAAAATAATAATTAGTAGCATTTAGGAATATTTTCTTTATTTTACTTTATTATAATTTAGAATATAACTAGAATTTTACATTGAAAGATCTAAAATAAATGGAATTTTATAGTTCCTATTACACATTGCCATTGCCGACGAATGTGATTTATTTCTAATATAATTATAGTCAAGTTCATAAATTGTTAGTAGTAAAAAAGAAAATTTCATTTTGTTTTGGTTTTGTTCATTTGTAACGGTGATTTTCACCCTGAGACAAACATTCTGAGTTTTTATAGACCTTTGTTCTATTAAGTACAAATAAAAAATATAAAAAATAAATAAACTGTTTTTATTTTATTTTACACGTATAAAATCTTTTCTTAATTATGTGCTATACAATAAGTCGAATTACTCATTTGTTTTCCCAAACAAGACACTTAAAGTTGCAGAATGATAGACCGCGCGCGACTGCTTGTGTTCAGCGCAAGGGTGCGACCGCTGGAAGGTTAAGCGAATTTTTCAACAAATTCTGCACGAGGCATTAAAAGTATTTCGTAATTTAGAAAATATTGCTAAAGAGAAATTCTCAAAACATTCTGCGCGAGGTATTATTAATATTCCGAAATTAAAATAGAATATAAAAATATCTTCTCAAACTGTTCAATAATCAAATTTGTTTAAATTCAAAATCTCAATATATTTGAAAGTATGAGGATTAATGCTATCGTTTAGTCACAGAGTCGTTTAGAATCTGTCAGGTCACGTATGAAAATGAATTTTACTACGGAAAATATACGTGCAATAATTTTCTACAAGATGCGAAGAGGACTAATACGGGTTCATTATTTCGACGAGCTAATTTCTGTATTTCATCATAAAGCGCCATGTCTGAGGAGTTTCAAACGCTGAAATTTAGAATTCCAGAGTGGACATACCAATCTTAGGGACAAATTTCGTAAAGGACGTTCAAATTCCGCCTTTACTGAAGTTAACATCGTTTCTGTGAGAAAACTAATTCTTGAAGATTATCATGTGACATATTGAGAGATAGAGGCATTATAAGGCATCTCAGGGATAACCATTTAGAAGATTTTGCATAAAGCGTTTGGTATGAAAAAGCTAATTTTCCGTTGGATTCTGCGACGACCATAAGGCGACCCGCGTCAGATGGTGTAAGAAAACTCTTCAAAGATCTACCGAGGACAGTCAAATCACGTCTACGACATCAACAGTGGTGACAAATCTTGGATCTATGCCTACAATCCCAATTCTTAGAAAAATCTATAATCTGGATCTTCAAAGACGAGTCCAAGCCGATTAAAGTTGTTCGCTCTCGAAGCACTTCAAAGAAAATAGGGGCCACGTTCATTGGGAAAACCGTCCATGTTGCGACGATTGCACTTGAAGATCGTAGAACGGTTAATGCAGAGTGGTACACCATAGTTTGTTCACCAAAAGTCATCGCCTAATTTCAGAAATTTAACCCAAAGCGACGCATCATCCTACACCATGACAACGTAAGCTCACACAGTGCTGATCAAACGATTGAGTATTTGAAGCACGAAAACGTAGAAATTCCTGAGCATCCTTGATACAATCCTGACCTAACAATTTCTTTGCATTTTCTAAAATGAAGAAAAATCTTCAGGGTCAAAGATTCCTGTCCAACATACTCCTACTCCCTAGGCGTAGTCTCAAAATCATGGAAGACGGCTTTCGTCCACCCGATCCCTAAAAAAAGGCGACCGCTCAGACCCGTCCAACTATCGGCCTATCGCCATCACTTCCTTGTTCTCCAAAACAATGGAGTCCATTATAAACTGCCAGCTCATGAGGTACCTTGAGGATCACCAGCTGATTAGTGACCACCAATACGGTTTTCGCCGTGGTCGGTCAGCTGGTGATCTTCTGGTCTACCTAACTCAAATGGGCGGAGGCAGTAGAGTCCAAGGGGAAGGCATTGGCCGTTTGTTTGGACATTGCGAAGGCCTTCGATCGGGTTTGGAACAAAGCGCTTCTTTCGAAGCTCCCTTCCTATGAGCTTCCCGAGAAATTGTGCGATTGGATCACCAGCTTTCTTACAGATCGGAGCATCAAGGTCGTTATAGACGGTGCAAGCTCCGATTTCAAGCCTATTAATGCTGGTGTTCCACAAGGCTGCGTGCTATCGCCAACGCTGTTTTTTCTGCATATCAATGATATGTTGCAAACCAGTAACATTCATTGCTATACAGATGACAGCACTGGTGATGCTGTTTACACCGGCCGAGCCAATATTTCTCGGGAAAACGTATCCGAGTGCCGGGACAAACTTGTGTCTGAAGTCGAGTCTTTGCTAAACAGAGTCTCGGATTGAGGGCGACTAAATCTAGTCCAGTTTAACACCCAGAAGACACAAGTTAGCTCGTTAACCGCTAAAAAGAACCCCTTTGTCGTATCTCCTCAGTTTCAAGGCACTCCCCTTGTTGTCTCAGCCTGTATCGGAATCCTCGGCGTCGACATATCGAGTGACGTGCAGTTTTGTAGTCACTTAGAAGAGAAGGCCAAATTGGCCTTTAAAAAGCTTGGCGTGCTCAGAAGAGCGGAACAGTATTTCATGCCGGCATACCGCCTGCAACTTTACAAGGCGCAGGTTCGGCCGCACATGGAATACTGTTCCCATCTCTGGGCTGGGGCTCCCCAGTACCAGCTCCTTCCACTCTACCGCATCCAGCGCAGAGCGGCTCGAATCGTCGACGACCGAGTGCTTTCCGATCGGCTCGATTCACTGGCACTGCGAAGAGATGTTGCATCTCTTTGCATTTTCTTTCGCATATACCATGGAGAGTGCTCTGAGGAATTGTTCGGATTATTTTTTCGGCAAATTTCGTAAACGCGCTACGCGACAAACGTCCCGATATCATCCACATCATCTAGATGCTTGGCGGTCCACCACTGTACGTTTCAAAAGGATTTTTCTTCCGCGTACAACCTCTCTGTGGAATAGTTTACTACAGGCAATTTTTCCGGACCGATACGACCTGGGGACCTTGAAGAAAAGAGCTTACTCCTTTCTAAAGGGCCGGCAACGCACCCGCAATTCCCATGGTATTGCGGTTGATCATGGGTAGCGGTAGTCACTTAACGTCAGTTAAGCCGCATGCTCGTTTACCCCCTCTTCAATAAAAAAATACAAAACAACAGCATTGAACTGTTATTTCACTCTGGTATTCTGTGAAAACTATAGACAGACAAGACGCGAAGTTCTGTTTACAACAAAAGTAAATTGCAATTACTAATTTCATTCGTGGCGGCGGGGATCGAACCTGTGAGTAGCCCCTTAGCTACTTCGACTGTAAATACTCTCTATAGTACTGGTAAGTATACTTACTTCATCCTGTAAGATGGCGCCTGCTGCAAGTGGCGTGATTATGGAGACAATGTTGGCGATACAGTTGGTGATACCCATCATAGTTCCCGCGAAGTTCGGTGCCATGTCTATGTGTACCAGCTGAAACGAATTATTTATTATGTTTCAATATTGTTTTTGATATAAATATTGATTCATTTCCATCCATACATTATATCCTAAGAGGTCTACAGCTGAATATGGGCCTTTTCCATAGATTGTCTCATAGGTGGGATATTTGCCATAGATATGACGTTAAGAAAGCAGGTCGCCAACAGAAGTATTTCATAATATTTAGTTGTTATGAGGAAGACACTGCCCATCTAAAGAAAGAAAGAAAAACTTTATTTGAAATCACAAAGAAAAAAAAAATAACTCGAAACATTACAATAAAAAATAAAATGGGTTTTTGTGAAGTCAAATTAGGTCCCTATTTCAGCTAACTGATGCTTTACTAAATAATAGCAGCGCTGATTTTCAAATAGGGCCCAATATTCACTTTACGGACGGTCGTACATTACTTAAAGCTAAAAATTAAAAACAATCATTCAGAGAAGTAAGTGGGGAAGGAATCAGCATAAAAGAGGTATGGGCTGCGGTAGTCACTTAACATCAGGTGAGCCGCATGCTCGTTTGCCCCCTCTTCTATTAACAAAAAACATCAATACATACGTATATATATCATACACATTTAAATGTACATACATATACATTATAAAGTGCTCAACAGCTCAACATCATATACTATATTATCTAATCTTAATAAAATAAAAAAATAAATTTAATTGTAAAGACTACGACTTAACAACCATAAACAAAAAGAAACGAAACAGTGAGTAAACTGAAAAATTAGAGAGGGAATAAAAAAAATACAGTAACTCTTATCTAGCTATTTTTCCAGCATTAATTAGAGGGCCTTTATGTTGTGCATGTAAAACAAAAAAAAAATAATTTTGAAATTACGAGGGATTTTGGTCTTGTTTTAAAATTGCTGATAGTTTTTTTTAATGTTCCTGTGGTTTTTAGAGCACGCATTGGTGGAGGCAGATAGTTCCAGCAGAGGTCCAGCAGAAGAGGACCATAAAAACTACCTGTTAATAAACTAAAACGTAATTTAGAAGAAAAAAATTAAAGAGATAAATATATTAACATTGGCATCTTGGTATGTTTACTAAAATTTAATAAATTTTCACAAAAAGAGAATAATTTTGTTTTATTGTTTTGATAAGACTTTTTGTTTTGATAAGACCATTGACAGATGCCGCTAGTGGCACCGTTAACATCGAGCTCGTAAATAAAAATAGTAAATAAATAGTCTTATCGTGATAGTAAGCGGATATTTGTTATGATTCAGTATATTTGGTGCTAATATATACTATATAATGTTATCAGTGCAAAAACTATAAGATTAATTGCATAATCAAACAATTTAATGTGAAGTGTAAAAACTAGTGCAAAACGAAAAAAACTTAGTGATTGTAACAATTGAATAGTGCCGTGAGTTTATACCTAATCATGCATATATATCAATATTTAATAACACAAATCTAAAATTTCATATAATATTTTTATGCAAGACCGTTGACAGACTCGAAAATTTAAAAAAAATCTACACGAACAATACATCATAATATTATTCATAACAGTGCCATCTAGTAAGGTATAATCGACCTGCACATAACACTCAACAACATGACATCTAAATTCAATGTGAAAACTACTAATAGCGGCCGCAAGATGCCGATAGTAGTAACATGTTATAAATGCAAAAACTTAGTTGATATAAAGAAAACTGCAATATGTTCATTATGTAATAATAGATATGATTTAGACTGTGATGGCTACCCGGAAAAAACATACCGCCTAATGGATCAAGAAAGAAAAAAGAAATGGCGATGCAAAACATGTATAAAAAATAAAAAAGATGTGAATAGCGACATAACTAATATCACAGTGAGAAAAAAAACAAAACCTCCCCGGACAATGTACATCCCTAGAAGAATCATGTTATACAGAGAAATTGCAAGGTTTTGAATCTTTACAGGTATCGGAGAAGGATAAATCTTACACATTAGACTCGCACATTCTCACGGACTATAATATATCTGATGTATCATTTTCAACGCCGAGTAAATTATCAAAGAGCGTAGACGGCACAATGTCTGAGACAACGTAAATCTCAGAAATGAAATCTACAATATCTCAGCTAAACGGTAATCTCCGTAGTACTCAAAATGAGTTAGAAAACATAATATTAGAAAATAATGATCTTCACAGACGGATAAATAAGTTAACCACAGAAATTAAAATACTAAAATCTCTATGCTATTCCCCCATAAAAACTGATAGTCCTCAAACAGGCAATACATCTAAGAAGAAGAGACACTCCTTACTACTTCACAGTCTATCTTCCACGCCACCCTCACCGATAGTCACGTCATACAACTATCCCCACCCTAATTCGACGATATCAAGCCTTCAACAAAAAATTATCAACTTGCAACAAGAATTAAAAGATTCAGAAAAAGAGATCATAACTCTCAATAAAAAAATAACAAATCTGACACAAAATACTCACTGTGAAACCAAAGATAAATCGAGCAAGACCTCAAAACCTGTGACGAGACAGCAAAATAACAGCCATGAAAAAATTATTTACATCATCGGTTCTCAACAATGCGTTGGCCTAGCCGCAGCATTATCACACTCAAGATCAGAGACACAATATGAACATTATGGAGTTATTGGTGAAACGAAATCCTATGCACCAAGTAACGAAATAATAAAAAATTGCCACAACTTGGAATTAAAACCGGATGATAAATTAGTCATATGTTTAGGAGAAAATGATCATAATTTAAAACAAGTTTTGTCACAATTACAAACTATAATAGATACTTTTAGTAAAAATACAATAATTGTACTTAATGTTATTAAAAATAGGTACATAAATGTTAATAATTTAAACTATAGTATCAAAAATATTTGCGAAAAACGTAAAAATTGTAAATTTGTAGATTGTAAAAAATATTCAAATCGCTTCGACATTTGTAAATCAATAAATTATGCTATTGACTATAGTGACTACGCAGAAAAATATTTAAATCCTAGTGAAATTAGTAAAAGAATAGCGAGTAATAAGCCAAGTTTTAAATTATGTAAAACCATAAATAAACCAAAAAAAGGAACAATTCCCTTCTACTTTAAAAAAAATTGACGAACACTCAAAACCTCCTGTTATTTATAAGAAAGGGACCATGCCCCATTATTTTCAAGTAATAAAAAAAGAACGATAAATTTTTTTCGACCATAAAAATTTAATTAATACTCATCATTTTAGTATTCTTCACCAAAACATTGCTAGTGTTTTGTCAAAGCAAGATTTAATAGACGTAACTATAGAGGAGTTAAGAGCAAAAAATAATGATCCGGATGTAATATGTCTTTCCGAAACTTTCATAAAAAAAGGTTTTGAGAGTTATGTAAGAATATGTGGGTATGACATGGCCGCCAACTTCTGCAGAGAAAAACAAAGAGGTGGAACATGTATTTTAGTTAAAATAGGGTATAATGTTCAATGAATTATCATTCATAAAAAATTATGCTACCCAGAATACGTTCGAGGCATGCGGCATAGAAATCATACATATTAAATTAATTACTATTTGTCTCTACAGAACCCCCCAATCCGACCCAGCACAGTTCTTATTTAAGTTAAACACACTTTTGCATGACCTAACTGTAAAATACAAATCGAAAGTACATATAGTTATAGCTGGAGACTTTAATATAAACACACTAAAAAAAGGCAAAATCACAAACTATTTACAAGATTTGTCCTACAATTATAACTTGAAAATACATTTCAATGTTCCTACACGTAGGTCATCTTGTATTGATCATATATTAAGTAACATTAAAAATGCGACTGCAACATTGCTACCACTGTATCTTTCCGATCATGATACAGCACAATTGTTAAGCTTTCCTATAAAAGGTAAGCCACAAAAACATGCTATATATTATGTTTACAAGAGAGACTATAACTTAGATAACATCAGGAAGTTTAAAGAATGCCTGAAGAATTTGTCATGGTCTGAGGCATACATGGAAAATGATGCTAACACAGCATTCAACCGATTTCATGAATTATTCTGCCTTTTCTACTATCTCTGTTTTCCAAAACAACGAATTAAAATAAATTTACAAAATAAAAAACAAAATTGGATAAGCAAAGAGCTCAAAGTAAGTTGTAAAGAAAAACGAATGTTAAGATTTAAATATTATAAAAATAAAAGTAAGGCAAACAGACTACGTTACCTATCATATTCTAAGCTCTTAAAAAAATGTGTATTTAATTTAAAAAAAGAATGCTAATATTAAGTTTATAAATAAAAATAATAACAAATGTAAAGCAACATGGACCATTATCAAAAAAGAAATATCTAACCAATATGACAAGAAAAATATAGAAAAAATCGTAGCTAATAATAAAGTTCTTACGAATCCTGTAGATATAGCTTCTGCCTTTAACAATCATTTTATTGATTTGACCCGTGAATCAACAACACACACTAAAGCGAAAAATGTAACCATTAACAGCGCGAATGTCAACTCTATGTTTCTTAGACCTATGTCTGAAAATGAGGTTAGAAGGGAAATAATGCTATTAAAAAATACTAGCTCTGAAATCCACGATGACATAAACACAAAAATAATAAGAAAATGTATAATTGAATTAATTGAAATATTGACATATTTAATAAATTTTTCATTTTCGTGTGGAATCTTTCCAGATACATTGAAACTATCAATAGTTAAGCCGCTGTTTAAAAAAGGCGAGAAAGATGATATTAATAATTATCGACCAATAACCCTAATATCCGTAATATCATAAAATATATGAAAAAAGCATGTATAAAAGACTTATTGAATTTTGTAATAAATATCACATTATATCAAACGAACAGTACGGCTTTCAAAAAGATAAATCTACAACTTTGGCGATATTTTCACTCATAAAAATAATACTATCAAATATCAATAATAATAATTTCACAACGGGACTAGTTTTTTGACCTATCTAAAGCCTTTGACCTAGTTTCACATGACCTATTGTTACAGAAATTGGAAAAGATTGGAATTAGAGGACCAACCCTTCATTGGATAACATCATATCTTTATAATAGAAAACAATGTGTTATTATTACTAAAGCCGATGTAAATGGGGACATAATTCCATGCTCGTCCGAATACCGAAACAAGAAATATGGCGTTCCACAGGGAAGTGTTCTCGGTCCAATTCTGTTTTTGTTGTACTTAAATGACATTGTTAATATTACGAAGCATAAATGTATTCTATTTGCTGATGACATTTCAATAATCGTGACTTCCAATAAAAAAAATAATAACTTGAGTGACCACGAAGCTGACATAAATAATACAATAGATACTTTAATTAACTGGGTTGACATACATAATTTAAAAATTAATTTAGACAAATCTTTATATATACAATTTAATAAATGCACTAATAATAAACATAATATTAAACTTAACATTCCAAAAATAAAAGCAGCTAGTCATACGAAATTTTTAGGTTTAACTATAGATGACGATATAAATTGGAAACTACATGTAAGCGATGTCTCTATCAAAATAAATAAATTCGTGTATGCACTTAAACAAATAAAAAACATAACAAACATAAAAACCGCTGTCATGTCCTACCATGCATATGTAGAATCTCTACTACGGTATGGTCTTATAATGTGGGGCAACAGCACTGATCAAAACAAAGCATTTGTCGGCCAAAAAAAATGCATTAGAGCTATATGTGGGCAAAAACCAAATGAATCGTGTCAACCAGTGTTTAAAAAACTTGGCTTATTACCACTACCATCACTTTAATATCTATGAAGTATGCATGTTTGTACATAATCACAAAACGTTGTTTACAACGATAGATGACATAAATTCCCGCAATCGTCGAGATCCATATAGACTTGTACTAAACGATAATCCTAGAATAAGAAAATATAATAAAAGTTGTTTATTTATGTGTGTTCACTTATATAATAAGATACCTAATTACTTAAAAATATTAAATACAAGATCATTTAAATTAAAACTGTATCAGTGGCTAAATAATTGCAATTTCTATAGTGTCAAGGATTTTTGTAGCCAAAAATATTAATGTAAAAAAAAATTGCATGCTATGAATAACCATAGCAAAACATGCTGATCTGAAACGTTCTGTAAAATCTATTATATACCATGTTTTATGCAAATAAAATATTATTATTATTATTATTAAACACAAGCTTGTCATACAAGTTACTCGACTCCACAGAACAAACGCAAAAAGTTACAGCCTATATACGTCCCACTGCTGGGCATAGGCTTCCCCTCATTTCATAGAGGGTTTTAGGGCAAGGAAGTGTCCGCCGCGCTGCCCCAATGCGTGTTAGCGAACTTCACATGTCTTAGAAATATTTTTTGTTATTTTCTCTACAACTAGCGCTAACCATCTGAGCTACCACAGCTCCCAACATAAAAATTCGTACAACTTATAAATTGTTTATTATTTAGTTGATTTCAAAAAGTATGCCTACTCAGTGGTACCATGCACAGCATTGATTTTCAGTCGGATGCCAAATGGGCTCACGAACAACTAGTTTTAGATATAAAAATCATTTAAACTAAAAAAGCAATAAAAAAACATAAAATCCTAGAAAATGTATTTAAACAACCTGCAAGATGCCACCTAGTGCCACCATCTTTGGACTCAATGGAAAGGGATGGAATATGGTTGCCAACATCTGTCTTTCCATCCGATAAAAATTTCGGCGTCTTCGAGGCAAGAGTGAACAGGCTTTTGTTAAGTCAGTGCTCTTCATCATCTTTGACTGCATCACCACTAACCATGGGGTAGGATTGTATTTAAAAGCTGTCATATTAAAATATCCTTACCAAATAACCAGTGTAGTGTCCTGCGTTGAGGCCGACGACAAAAGTGAGAACTGCTACAGCGACTGCTACGTTCCCCGCGGGGACGTACGAGAGAACAACCAGAGCTATCGCTGGACCAAAATGACCTGCGCACATTCAATTAAACGTATTTTCCAGAGTTTTTTTTTTTAAATTAAAAGAAGTTAACAAACGAGTCATCTGATGGTAAATAGATGTGGCCTATAGACATCTACACTTATCCTAGATCAAAAATCAAAATGCAGATGCGTTGTCATCCTCGAGGACTAAAATGGAATCCCTCGTATCCTGTAAAAAGGGTCTCCGGTTCTCTAAACACAGCATGCGAAAAACAGCAGCATCAAAGTGCTATTTTACGCTAGTATTCTGTGAGAGCATAGTCCTAGCCCGGTCGAGCCGACTCAGTATTTCTTCAACCATAATATAGGTACAGCGTGGCTCTATTACGTATTTTGTTAGGAATACTATTCTGACTTAAGAGTAGGTACCCCTCTTGCATGTGCCATACTGTGTTCTATTTTGGAAGGTAGAGAACTAGTATAATTAAAGGCTGTTAGACATTATGTTTTGATCCACAGGGGTGAACAAGATGGCTTCCAATGTCTGCCGGTTGCTCGTTTGGCACCCTCACTTTTAAACATAATTATGTGAGTGGTGGATGTAGAAGAATTACTATAACCTTGTATTTCAATAATAGTCTCTCTTTTTCCATTTTATGTAGAACATTAGCTCCACACTAAAACCTTTTTCTGTATCGTAGATGCAGTTTACAAACATCTAGACCCGGAATAATTATTTTGAAGCCAAATAAATACTCGTTCCGTGCGAGATTCGAACCCGCTGTTCTTAACGCTGTAATTCATTGATAAGCCACTGCGCCAAGGAGCTGTCAAAGGGAGAGGCCCAGATCCATATATCGATGCTTGTAAATACACTACTATAAGATTTTAAGTAATTTTTAAGTTCTACCTCACTCGCCTTATGGAATCTTCTATCGTAAGAGATTTTTCTGAACCGTTACAACTTAAATAGCTTTAACGATAGAGCCTGCTTCTTCGTGATAAATGTTTGCCTAACAAATTAAGAAATGATGCTAAAATGAGATAATAGAAAATACCATTACTTACCAATAGAATTGGAAAGTTTTCTGCAAGCGGTGATGCTCAACCACTTCTTTTTCAGTATATAGTCGGACATGAAGCCTAGAGGGAAGCTGAACAGATACATGGCCAGATAAGGAAGCGCGGACATCATTCCGTTCTGAAAAATTATAATAATTAGTCACGATGAATATACTCGAATAGTTTTATTTCTATCCGGATTGTAAATTCAATAACATTTATGCATTACATGGCATGTACAATCACATCTTCACTGCTAAATATGATCATGTTGGTGTTTGCCTTCCTCGTTGTTCTAGTAGCCGTAAACGCGGTTACAGGTTGGGGGGGGGATCTGGGGTTCAAATCCCGGATTGGTGAGAAATTGGGTTTTGCTGCCTTTATTTTATTTTTTTTTCGGTCTGGAGGATATTATTATAATGTCTACCAATTTCAGTCATTGGAAGCTGTGTAAACCACATTTTAATCGGGTGGAAAGACTAGTAAATTATCCCACTCTTATGCTACCTGCATTACGACAAACAAATTATAATTCTAATAAAGTATAGTTCTAATGCAATATACATTATATTAATATAGCAAAATAAACTGCGTCTGCAAACACGGCTACCATTATTTTCAGCACAGCACATTCAGCACGTAAGATACTTACTGCCTTTATTTCAACACCAAGTACTTGACTCATGTACGACGGCATTTCCGTCATGAGAGTCCAGAATCCCCAGTTCTGTCCGCAATGCACTACGATGAGTGATATGAATGGAAGCGAAGTCCAAATCTTCTTCCATGGAGTTCTTAATTTCTATAAATAAAATATTTGATATTAGAATTTATCAATAGTTTATAAAGAGAACCTTACCTGGTTGCGTTTTTACTGGTAACGAGGCATTTTAACTTGGTAGTAGTTTACATTGCTACATTGATATTGACAGTAAATGAACAGAAGTTATATTTGATACAACTTTATTTTACTTGTTTGTAATAATATAGCCTAAATACTTATTACCATTGACACATATATTTCTAGCGTAAGGACCGGGCCGACAGAACGACTAAAACGGACAGGTGCGCTGGCCCTAAAATTGCAGTTTAGAGCCAACGCGAATCGGTCGACAGTGGTGCGCGCTCTGGACAGATTTGCCTGTCTTAAATATATCTAGTTGCATGGTAAAAGGATGCAAAAATTACGATACAAAGATTGAAAAGGAACATGATAATTATATCGCATCATCGATAAATAACCTTATATTAATTTTGTTACAGTAAAATTATTATATAAACGCATTTTTAAAGTTTATTTTATAGTTAGTTTAGTTACGTTACCAAGATTAGGCCAGGGTTGAATTCAGACCCTCAAAAATATTGTACATGAAAAATAAAATTATATTATTTTTAAAAAATTGTATCACGTTTGAGGTTTCATGTTTCTTTTTCCCATGTGCCGGGATTTTTGCGTCACGCGACTAGTTTATCTATACAGTTTGTTTTTTAACGGTTTTATTTTTAGTTCCGTTAAATTTTTGTCTAAAGAACTTAGTGTAAGTTAAATTTTGAATATTGGTACGTAATATATTTTATATTCAATAAGGGTAAAACGAAAACAGTACAAAAGAAACCATATCTGCTTAATGAAATCTGAAACTCCGATTCGTAAAATATTTTGAAATTCTGTTTTCAAACCGATTGATTCTGGAGCATAGAGTTTTTACCGTAGTGGCCCCTCATTATAGTTGTATCAAGGATGCAACATAAATGCATCGATCGAGCGCCGATTGGCCAGAAAGGGATTCTAATTTTATTAAAAAAAAACTCGGTACTCATGTACAATACAGAAATTCTCGATATCGTAGGGTTAAAATTAAAAAGTAAAAGGCTCCAATAATAATACAAGTCGACGTTTAGGTAAAATTATGGTATTTTCGCTTAGAATTATTACGATACTATATACTACTGTGGCCGCGGAAGTAAAAGGAGATCTCCCGCCGGGCAAGGTGTTCTGCCCGAGGCGGCCAACACTCCGTGTGATAGTTCGGAGATGTTCTATATATACTGTTTATGATTCGGAATGTTGATAGCGCGATTTAGGCTTCGGTGTGTTTCGTTTGTGGCGCGACGACAGCGCCGCTACACTACTAACTATGAAATAATGATACAATTAGGATAATTTTACTACGAAATCCAACCCTGGTTACGTCGTGTGTATTATGACAGATGCGCTACTTTTTCTTGTATGAAAAACTTATGAGTAAAATATTTAGATGGGCCTATCCTTCCTTTTGAAATCGTTGCTTATTACTTTGTTTTTTAGTATATTTTATTTAATTGTTTACTTTTAAATGATTTGCTTGTATATATTTTTGTCTATTTTTGTATAACTTGGCATTTGTTTTCTTTCATTTTCCTGGTGTTATTTTTAAGATTGTAAACAATTAGCCGTGGTAGCTCAGATGGTGAACGCTCGCTGTAAATATAACAGAACGCGAGTAACCCGGGTTTGATCCCCGCCTGCACTAATGAAATTGTTAATTACAATTTTAAGTGCTGATTTACCACGTGCTCAGCGGTGAAGGAAAACATCGTAAGAAAACCTGCATGTCTGAGGAATAAGAAAAAAATATGTAAAAGATATGTGAAGTTCGGCAACACGCATTGGGGTAGCGCGGCGGACACTTTCTTTCCCTAAAACCCTCTCAGAAATGAGGGGAGGCCTGTGCCCAGCAGTGGGACGTATATGGGCTGTAACTTTACTTTTCTTTTTAAACAATTAGTCGAGTGATGTATGGAGATATACATATATTTAGTTATTTTTGTTATATTCATTTATATTTATTTAATATAATCTTATTATTTTAAATATTTTTTTAAATATCAGATGATGAATATTTTTATTCCACTTGCAACAGTTCATCTTCCCTTTCAATTGTTGATGCTTCGGGTGAGCCTGCCACGCGACGTACGACGTAACTTACCTTATAAATATTAAACACATCTTCTTCCCTATATTCCTGTTTAATGGAATACATTTTTGTTGAAGTTAATATCAAGAGTGTTAAAGTTATTCTTGGAGTTGTCTACTGTCCACCTCAAGTGGACTACTTCTCAGATTTGGAAGAAAATTTATTGCCTTTCAGTTATGCCTATAGACATCACATTACCAAGCGAGACTTTAACACTGACCTATTAGGGGTTTCTCTTAAATCTTCCAAACTAAGATCGACCATGTTGTTGCATAATTTCACTATTTTGCCTCTAAATGCAACACATCACAACTTCCTTTCTGCTGACACCTGGATCAACCTTAAGGTCGTCTCCTCTATTGATCACGTTGTCAATTATAGGCAGTTTCCTGCTTCTGGATTTTCACGCCTGACCTGCTTTATCTGTCATATAAATTAAAGTCTCCCAAGCCCTTATCTATGTCTATCTTTTATATATATTCGAAGTCTTGCTAGAGTAGATATAGACAAGCTTAAATGTGATGCCGATGCTACTAGTCATCTGTATAAACTACTTCCACAGTTGATGAAAAAGTCGACTTCCATAACAGCAACGTATTAGGACTGTATAATGAACATACTCCTAAACGTTTTGTTCGACTGAAGCGTCCTCCTTTTCCATGGATCACGATTGGGATAAGAATGGCTATGTCTAATAGCGATAGAACTTTCCATGCTTTCAAGAAGAATCGCACCGACGTAAAGTGGCAAGCATATAAATCTACAAGAAATCAATGCAATCAGATGATGAGAGCTGCTAAACGCCGATATATCCGCGAACAACTACTTAATTCATCATCAGATGATACATGTAAGTTTTAAATATATTTAAAAGATAAGGAGTATAAACAAAATTTATAATAATTTTAACGTTTTATTGGGAAGAATAGAATTAACATGTTTCATTATAATTCTCTCTGAATGTAGGCTCTCACATGTTTCTAATCTGCCTTATTTGCCAGGGTATTCTACCTTTAGTACAAATTCTTACTATATGACTACACCGTCGTTTTGATTGTAGTTTTAATCACCAGCTATCTCGAAACTTTATCCTTCCTGGGTTTGACCCCTGCTTACTACACACCTACTAGAGGTAGCTGTTTAGATCATATCATATTAAAAACGAAATTAAATTCATATACTTTCATTTTGCAATCTGCCATTACAGGCCATGAACCTGTGTTCTTCTGTTTAAATACTAAAAATGCTGGATGCGATCGAAAACAAAACTTAAATAAAAAATAAATTATGAGACTTTACTTGAAAGCTCCAAAATTTTTGTAATATTTAACAATGATGCGAATCCAAGTCAATCCATTAACCTTATTACTGAAAACCTACAAAAACTAATTTAAAAAAATTCTATTAACATAAAATTACCTAGGAGTAAAATAACATTAAAACCATAGATAACAATAGGATTATTTAGATGCATAAGAACAAAAGATAGAATAGACCTTTGTGACCGGGAACAGATTATAGAAAGAGGCACGCTGGTTGGTACTTGTGAGGAAGTGAATTGGTTACGTCGGTGCCAATATCTATCGAGTGGGACCCCCAGCAAGGATGCACAAACGAGAGTGACCACACTTTTGGAAGACAGTCACAGCGTTCTCTCCCCGAACGAAATGGTCAAGGCGAAGAAGTTGTTACTCAAGTACGCTGGTGTATTCTCATCAAACGATGCTGACATAGGAAAGACTGGCTTAGTTCAACACAAAATAAACACAGGTGAAGAATTGCCTATCCGTCAGCGGCCAAGAAGATTGCCGGTAGCACGTGAAAAGGAAGTGGAAACCATAATTGAAGGAATGGTGAAGGATGGTGTTATTGAACCTTCGTCTAATCCATGGTGTTCACCCGTGGTGCTGGTAAAGAAGAAGGACGGCAGCATGCGGTTCTGTGTTGACTACCGCCGTCTGAACGACGTTACAAAGGACAGCTATCATTTGCCAAGAATTGATGACACGCTGGACATTATTCTACTATTCAAACGGCAATTCAACTTTTTGGGCTATGTATTGTCGGAAGAAGGTATCCGCACTGATCCGGAGAAAATCGCCGCTGTCAAGGATTGGCCGGTTCCAAAAGACAAAACGCAGGTCAGAGCATTTTTGGGTTTGTGCTCCTATTATCGGCGATTTGTGAAGAACTTTGCAGATATAGCCAAACCTCTGCACAAGCTAACCGAGGAGAAGCGACATTTCTGCTGGGATGAAAGTTGCAACATCGCATTCCAGGAGCTCAAGGACCGTCTGTGTAAAACACCCTGATGCAACCAAAGAATTTATAGTTGACGCAGACGCAAGTGATATAGGACTTGGCGGTGTGTTGTCTCAACGGAATGGTGACTAAGAGGTCGTGATAGCGTACTTCACCAAGTCGTTGCCAAAACCGGAAAGGAACTATTGTGTCACAAGACGCGAATTGCTAGCTGTGGTAAAGTCGTTGCAGCATTTTAGCAAACATGCTGCATGAAAATGGCTATTGTAGTTTAAAAATCCAGAAGGACAAGTTGCGAGGTGGATTGAACTACTGCAGGAATACAACTTTGAGATCGAACATCGCAGCGGGAAATCTCATGGCAACGCAGATGCATTGTGAAGAAGACTTTGTCCTGAAGATTGCACGCATTGTACTAGGCGAGAGGGTAAGGACCTGGTATCTGCGAGGATACTCAGGACAGACCACCTCAGCAACGAGTGGAAGGACAGCTTACAACATGCACAGCAGAAAGATCCGGACATCAAGCCGATTCTGGAATGGATGAAGGCCAGTGCTCCCAAGCCCAAGTGGAGCGAAGTCTCAGCGATGAGTTCGAACACGAAAAGCTATTGGGACCAATGGGACAGCTTGCTGCTTCAGGATGGAGTTCTGTGCCGTAAATAGGAAAATGTTCGGGGAGACAGCTGTCATTTGCAAATGGTTGTCCCTAAAGCTAAAGTACCGGATGTTCTACAGCTGTACCATAATGATTGTTCAGGAGGCCATCTAGGAGTTAAACGAATTTTACTGAAGAACCGAGAATGGTTTTACTGGATCCACTTTCGACACGATGTCGAGGACTGGTGTCGCAAATGTACAAGTTGTGCGACTGTAAAGGGACCTCAGACTCGTAGTAGAAGTGCTTTGAAGTTGTACAATGTTGGTGCACCATGGGAGAGAATAGCCATTGACGTGGCGGGGCCGTTTCCGGAGAGTGAAAGCGGTAACAAGTATTTTATGGTTGTAATGGATTACTTCACTAAGTGGCCAGAAGTCTTCGCCGTTCCAAATCAAGAAGCTTCAACAGTTGCAGATAAACTAGTTCATGAAGTCTTCTGTCGTTTTCGAGTACCTTTAGAGATTCACAGCCATCAAGAAAGGAATTTTGAGTCTCAAATATTCCAGGAAACTTGTCGAGTTATGGGGACATGGAGGACATTGAATGTCCGCTGTGTATATCTAACTGTCAAGTTGCAGGTGTAAAAGCACTGACAATATACTTAAAAAAGCATTACTTTAACTTATTTAGTACATCATGCCAAACTGCGGGCCAGCATACTCGTAATACAGGGCACAGCCAACGCCCTGCGTTCACTTTCTATATCCAAGTCATCCTCTAAGTTCTCTAAGTCCTCTAAGTCCCAGTCACCTAGATAATTAAATTTGACGATTCTTTTTAAAGCACTATCACAGAGCTTAACAGTAGGCATGGTGAGCTGCCTTTTAGTGCCTGAATTAAAAACCATAAGCTCACTTTTCGTTATATTGTACTTGAGCCCATGGGTCTTTGCGTATGATTCACAGATCCATACCAGCCTTCTGAATTTACCTATCGTGGGGCTCAACAGCACCGTGTCATCTGCATGGCTTATATTATTTATACAAACTCCGTCTATAGAACAATCGAACTTAGTACTGCTGAGCTCCAAAATCAACTAGTTTAGGTTGAAAAGCGTAATCGAGCTCAACCCTCCTTGTTCTCCTCTCCGCATTCTAGCCCATATCCCTCCCATCCCATCTTAGTTTATTTAGTTGCTATATCAAAATATAAATAAGGAGATAATCTCCTGAGTTAAATTAGTCTCCCCCTCTAACTTTCGCCATAAGATATAAGGTACTATTGAAGAAAATATCGCGGAACATACGTACGAAAATACCTTTCAGACGAATTAATTTCTTCTCCTTTTTACTCGTAATTCGGCTAAAAGCCAGTACAGTAAACACCGTAAAAGAACAAACTCACACAGAATGAGCGTGAAATATCGGGTGAATGCTGCTGTGGTGCTGTGTTTCAATAGAAATTGTAGATAGCCGGAGACCCTTTGTACTGGACACTAGATATTCCGTCTTAGGCCTCAGGATGACAACGCTTCTGCAGTTTGATTTTAATTCGAGGATAGATGTAGACGGGCCACAGTATCCACTTATCATCGAGTGGGCTGTGTGCTCGATTTTCACTCTTATTCTGCTTAAAAAGGCTATTGTTCATCGACGAATCCCAATGAGGTTTGTATGTAAAGTCGCTTTTCGACACTTATCAGTTTACAAGAGTGTGGGGAATTAGCACCAAGGAACCCGTATAGAGCACTCCAAATAGCTCCAAGTGTACCGTTAAGGTAGTAAATGGCCGGCCATCCCTAATATTCAGCACAGGTTGACAACGCTTCTGCAGTTTGATTTTAATTCGAAGATAGATTTAGAAACGTATGGGCCACAGTATCCACCTATCATGAGGTGAGCTGTGTGCTCGATTTTCACTCTTAGCCTATTAAAAAAAACGCATTTTTACCTTTTGTTCACCAACGTGTCCCAGTGAGGTTTGTATGTAAAGTCGCTCTTCGACACTTATCATTTTAGAAGTGTGTGGGGAATCAGCACCAAGGAACACGTATAGAGCAGTCCAAATAGCTCCAAGTGTACCGTTGACGTAGAAAATGGCCGGCCATCCCCAATATTCAGCAATAAACCCTGACGCCATTAGCTGTAGTGCTGTGCCAAGCTGGCCTCCTAAATTTTAATCAAATTTATTAAAACAATGCTTAATGTTGGTTAAAATAAATTAAGTATTTAAATATATATATAATGACAACTATTCATCCAAGTTCAAAGAAACGAGAAGCATTTATATTTTTCACGCATATAATATTGTTTTTAATTTTCGAAAATGGTTCAAACGATTTAAATTTTTTTGTGTAGTGATCCCGTATGAATTTTAAGAGAGACATTCCATTCCTAAGGGTGGAAATGGAGTAACTGTTAAGTCGACATCCTAGTTAAAGTTCCGAGTAAAATTATTGCAATAGAACTGACTGAATATTTTATATAACGATGAATGAAATGAATAACAATGAGTGAGCTTAAATAATATGTATGTGAACCATTGAGTGTCGTAAGAGGCAAGATAGAGAAATTAAAAAGGGGATGGACAAAAGCATCCTCTCGATATCAGCGCAAAGAAAACAGCCTCCTTTAGAGTAAGTTATGGTGAAGATCCATGTTCAGCAGTAAACTTTTAATCGACTGTAAACGAAGAATTAATATACTATTATACCATGTCGTAAAAGCTGACAGGATAAGCACTCGCACCAAATTATTATAGCAAACAATTTCATAACAAAGCTAATTTGAAACCCGCTGGCAACATTTAAATTGTTAATTCCAAATTTAATTATGGATATTTCACCTGCTTGGCAGATTGAAATCTGGTTTCTTTTACTGTGGGATTATTGTGGGAACTTGCCTAAGGTACCATGGCTAAATATAATACATGATGTAAATACAATAATGAAATACCTGCATAGATGACTGTTCCAAGGCAACTCTTCTCTTCCAATGGAACCCATTTACCGATAAGGTTATGCACGGATGGGAAAAGAAACCCTTGTGATAGACCTTGAATCACACGGCATGCGCAGACTAACTGCCACCCGCCCTGTAGAGTAATATGGATTTAAAATGTTGATAATTTTTCAATTGTATGCTGTTAATAATTATGTATAATTACCAACGTTTAGTGGAGTCATAATATCCACTCCTCCATATCGTCACGTGGGTGTCGTAAGAGGCGACACAGGGAAATAAACCCAGAGATGGATAGCAGCGTGCCTCTTCTCCCTTATAAGAGAAACATTTATCTTGAACTGGTTATGATTATGCCAATATAAAAGAGTGGGCGTTAGTGGTGGATAATTAATAGCGCCGGTTAGAACACTAACGTATTTTTAACTTATAATAAGCCAGTGCTTGGCCACAATATTACCTGGTGGTAAGAGGTGATGTAGCCTCAGATGTGTTTTTTGAAATGTGTATAATGACATAAAACAATTTGTATTTTTTTATAGGATAGAGTGACAAACGCGCACACAGTCCACCTGATGGTAAGTGGTTGCTGTGACCCATAGACACCTACATTTATCGTCGACTACGAATCAAAATGCAGATGCGTTGTCACCCGTGAGAACTAAGATGGAATGCCTTATTTCCACTAAAAAGGGTCTCCGATTCTCTACACTCTCATCATACGAAACACAGCAGCGTTAAACTACTATTTTACGCTGCGATCCATTCGTGCCACAACTATACTATTAATATAACTGCAGCATGGCTCTACCACGTATAGATAGTATCTGTGGTAACTACTGCTAATACAAAGGTTGCCACCTTAATCCGTTTCTTTGAAATAAATAATTTAGTTATTTACTTACTTACTTTAGTGTGCTCCTTAGCCAAGTCATTGTATTTAAGCAACAAAATAAAGACTGCTTCTAATAAAATTAAAATGACATGGAGTATAATTAATAGTGAAACTGGTAAGGTCAACTCTCGCAATTCAAACTACCAGTTAAGTTTTTACAATAAATTAACTATGATTAAATATATATATATATATATATATATATATATATATATATATATATATATATATATATAGTATTAAAATGTATGTATAGTGTTCGCGTAAATATAAGAAATCATTATAAATTAACTAAATCAGATAAGGACGTTGCAATGGTTTTTGAGAAATATTTTACTGATATTCCGATCTTAACCACTAAGTCACTGAATTCTTCTCCTACTGTCGCCGAATCATTACTTAAACAAAATGTAAATGTGTGTACAAAGAATTTTACATTTCATAAAGTTTCATCAAAAGATATTGTAAAATATTTTAAGACTATTGATATTAAGAGAACCGCCGATCTGTGGGAGATTTCTGTTAAAGTTATTGCGTCTATAATAGATACAATCGCACCTCAACTATCTATTATTTTAATAGTAGTATCAAATCTGGTGTGTTTCCTGATTTAATGAAGCATAGTAAAGTAATACCTTTATTTAAATCTGGTACTACATTGGACCCCGCTAATTTTAGACCTATTTCTGTACTGCCAACACTTATTAAAATTCTTGAAAAAATTATTCTTGATCAATTTTTTTGGTTTCACAAGGGGTCGCTCGACAACTGATGCTGGTGTTGAGCTGATTAAATATATATTTAATGCATGGGAGAATTCACAGGATGCTTTGGGTGTGTTCTGTGACCTATCCAAAGCCTTCGAATGTGTTCACCATGAAACATTAATCAGGAAACTTCAACACTACGGTGTAAGAAATGATGGTCTTAAATTAATTATTTCATATTTAAGTGACAGAACACAAAAAGTTGTTATTAATAGTATGAGTTCTTCCGGGTCGATTGTACAAATGGGCGTGCCTCAGGGCTCAATTCTCGGCCCCTTTCTGTTTCTTGTATATATTAATGACTTACCTTACGTAGTAGGGGATAACCATGATATAGTATTATTTTCTGATGATACTTCATTAATTTTCAAATTAAAACGACAGTTATTAAATTACGACGAAGTAAATAATGCTGTAGCTAAGTTAGTCAATTGGTTTAATGTTAATAATTTGCATTTGAATGGAACTAAAACTAAATGTATGAAATTCGTAACTCCTAATGTTAAACATGTCAATACTAATGTAATTTTAAATGGGGAGGAACTGAGTCTTGTTGATACCACCATTTTTCTTGGAATCACACTGGACGCAAAGCTTCAATGGCTTCCCCATATATCAAAACTAGCTAGCAGACTTAGTTCTGCAGCATATGCTGTAAAAAAGATTAGAACTCTTACCAGTGTTGAAACAGCTAGAATAGTTTACTTTGGTTATTTCCATAGCATTATGTCGTATGGTATTTTGCTATGGGGACACGCGACTGACACTGAAATTATATTTATTTTACAGAAGAGGGCCATTAAGGCAATATATAATTTAAAACCAAAAGAGTCACTGAGACAAAAATTTAAGGAAATTAATATATTAACTCTAGCCTCTCAATACATTTATGAAAATGTAATGTACGTACACAAAAATAAAAGTAGTTTTGCGAAAATAAGTGATATTCATTCTGTAAATACTAGGAGCAGACACAAGCTGGTAGTACCAGTTACTCGACTTCACCGAGTCAGTAATTCATTCTTGGGGCGATTTATATGCTTTTACAACAAAATCCTAGAAAATATACAAAATTTGTCATACACAAAGTTCAAAAATGTTATTAAACTAAGTTTGTATAAAAAGGGTTATTATAATATTAAGGAATTTATAGATAATAATAACCCCTGAGAAGGGAGATCGCTACCAAGCTATTTATAATTTGTCTTGTGTTGTTGATTGTAAACATGATTGTAAGCTATTATTAAAAAAATAGTCCCGCTGGGTTTCTTGCTGGTTCTTCCCAGGAAAGAGGTTTTTTTTTGGCGAACCAGTGGTAAATTAAAAAAGTACTTTCAATAAGTATTTTTATAATCTACATTGAATAAAAAAGTTTCTATTTCTATTTCTATTTCTATTACATCCCATACGACATACGACATACGTCGTACGTCAAATACGCAGACCAGCGACGGGCAGTAGTGTCTAAGGTGCAAGACGTCTGCTTCTTCGATTGTCTTCCGCTAAAATTAAGAAAAAGGATCCTAATACAAAAAAGTATGACGATTAAGGCTATTTTTTCCTAGATCGGGTGGTACCAATGTAAAGAAGATGGTACATAAGAGGCAATTATGAGAAAAAACTGAAAGATCACATAACCTACGACAGATGGCAGTAATAATATCTCGAATACATCAGATGAAAATAACTCTGACAAATAACGAAGAGGACAGTCAAGTGCGCCAGAGATCTATGAATAAACAAGGTTTGAGTCCGTGTTACTTACGTAGTAAGAACCTATAGGTATCAATAGCGACACGGCAGAGTTGATGGCAATGCAGGACGTGATCAAAACCATGCCACCGAACCTCGCTGCAAGCTCTCCACCGGGTATTTGCAGCACCACGTAGCCCCAGAAGAATGAGGATAATATGACTGATTGCTTTTGTATGCTCCAATTGAAGGACTGTAAACAAAACAACATTTTAATACTAATACATACGAACGAAGTAATAATACATACGAAATTAACGGCTGTGCAGTAGCGAGAAAAATCATCTTCACTATCCCGTGAGTGTCGTTAGAAGTGAAGAAAGAAAAACTGAAACAGGGTATGAGCAGCAAATAATGTAAACAAACACGAAAGTTGCTACCGTGTAATGGCGTCGTAAAAGAATATACTATACCATAAAAACCCATGGGGATTGATTTAACCGGAAGTGACACAAGTAAATTAAAAAACAAGTGATCAGCAGCATCTTCCTTTTTTATACAATAAGGTTGACAAACGAGCACACAGTCTACCTGATGTCCTGAACCACTTGAAGTGGTTGCTGTGTTCCATAGACACCTCCATTCTTACTCGATTACGAATCAAAATGTAGATGCGTTGACACCCGTAAGGACTATGATACCCTCGCGTATCATTATTGATAGGAACCGGTGTTCTTTTGCGAGGATTTGTGCTTTATCAAATCTGATGTAATGGGAGGCTGCTGTTACTCTTGCTACCTGCTTGAAATAATTACCTAAAATCGCGACGCACTTAGGGTAAAATACGCAGTCGGGGATAACGCGTTCTAGGCGATTGAATGTTAAAGATTTTTTACAATGTTTACGTAAAAAAAATTATAAATTCTTGTTCATGGAGGTTAGAGAAAAAAAGAGTTTTTGTTTAGTGTTTAGTATATTTACTTGTAGGATAAAATAGTTAAAAGATTTTAATGTAATTTAAAAATTATATATATTATGTATATTACCCATCTATAGGGAACCGCGAACTAATGTGCGCCGTCGTTAGGAACTATCGAAGTAACCGGCTGACTGACTGTCAACCAACTACCCGAAAGTAATTTTTAATTATTTTCAAAATACAAATTTTAACAAACGGTTTTTTGGCATAGATAATAACTAGATAACATATAAATTATACATAAGTATATTATACAGCTTCAAAATATATTTTCATATAATATCGATACTGTAATCAATCTTAAGTTGAATAAAGTCAAGATATTAAGTAAAAATAATTTTAACCTATGTAGAAATGAGCATGCACAGAACGCGCGTATTGCTTACACCATCTATTTGATAAATTTTAATATGGCAAAACGTCGTTCCTACTAAAATTGTTACGTGGATAGACGCTAAGTGACTTACAAAATGTTTCAGATATATAGTGGAAAGTTATGAAACGTGAATTTATTTAATTTTTATTGTTAGATAGGTAGGTACTTATAGCAAAAAAAGAATTAAGTAATAATTTATCAAATACCTACGAACCATATTACAAAATTTAGCTGAAATTTACTTCGCTCTCCAAGTATCTACTTACAAACCTATACTTGTCTTTTGTATTTAAAATATTTTAAGTTATATTAACACAAAACACTGAAATTTAAACTTGGTTTACTAACAAACATTTTAACTAAGTAGAATAAGATTACATTTTTATTAGGGATCGTATTTCAAGTTTATTTGTTGTTTAAACTATCTACTTTTTCGGCTGAGCCAAGCATCGCGATTCCCGACGAATGGCCCTGCAAGTTGCATGCGTTAGGCAGTAGGCATTGTAGAACTTACATAGGTGAGAAAATATGGTCAGTCGATCATATTTGGAATAGGTATTTCACCTAAGTAACTTAATTAACATTTCGCGATGTGTTTAAACTTGGTTTACTAACAAACATTTTAACTAAGTAGAATAAGATTACATTTTTATTAGGAATCGTATTTCAAGTTTATTTGTTGTTTAAACTATCTACTTTTTCGGCTGAGCCAAGCATCGCGATTCCCGACGAATGGCCCTGCAAGTTGCATGCGTTAGGCAGTAGGCATTGTAGAACTTACATAGGTGAGAAAATATGGTCAGTCGATCATATTTGGAATAGGTATTTCACCTAAGTAACTTAATTAACATTTCGCGATGTGTTTTTGTTACTTTTGATTGAAATCCCTTCGTAACAACGGAAAGTCTATCAGTATCCTAGCATATCGAAATAATTTTTTCAAAAAAACACATTTAAAAAAAATAATTTTAATGAAAAAAAAATTGTTTGCAAATTTTATGCGGTTTTATTAGCTCTGCATTGGCTGAAGAGTAAGAGGATTGTCAAAGACCCCGCATTACCGATATTCCTGTGAGTTAGAGGAAATACAACTACATACAATTTGCAAATTAATTTTTTTTCACTAAAAGAATTTTCTCTTAAATGTTTTTTTGAAAAAAATATTTCTATATACTTGGTTACTGATTCTGATGACACACTTAACGAAAACCACAGGGTTTTTGTTACATATTGTATATTACACTTGACGGATGGTAAAACTGAAAGGCGCGTAGATACTGTAAATAACCCGGAACGACGGTATTAAAAATTAAGTTAATTAATAATGATGAAATCCGTATAAATAGATTTATTCAATGTATAAATTGATTGTTGCCTCGTTACCAGTAAAAAGGGTCTCCGGTTCTCTACACTTACCATACGAAACACAGCATTAAGCTACTATTTTACGCTGGTATTCTGTGAGAGCATGGTTCTGATAATAATTTAAAATAATAAAGAAACTGGATCGGTTGGCAACCAACCCGCCCAAGCTTCTCTCTGTCTCTGTCTCTCTGACTCTGTCAGGCAGTCTATGGAGAGAAGTATTCTCAGCAGTGCACTTTGGATACGCTGTAATCAATTAATAAAGAGACGATAGTATCTTAAACAGAAAATAACAATGACTTTCAAGAATTCTTATCTATAATCTATATTGATTAAAAAAGTTTTTATTTCTAAACTTACAGTCCAGCTGATGGTAAGTGGCAGTTCATTGACCAATGCAGCCAACTTCTAACAAAGAAGCTACAGATGCTATGTTATCTTTAAGGACTGATATAAATCGAGATTGGGACTAGGACTAAACAAACTTGTTTAAACAAAAAATCGGATACGTTAACAAAATATACAATAAAGCTCTGTGGTTTCGTTGACTTAAACGAAAAATGTCTTTAGAAATATAACATAGAAATATGGATACTAATAATTATTATTTCAATGAAATAATAATTATTGGTATCTAAAGTTTTCCAATAAAATAAAATAAAAAACAAATATATGCAGTTCACACGCGTAGAAAAAAGACCTTCAAATAAAATAAAATATAAAATAGAAATATTTCACTGCAAGTGTTTTATTTAATAACACAATTTTATAAAATAAATACGCCATAAGACAAAAGATAAAAGTTTATTTCTTTAGCATATAAATGGAATTTTATAGTATGGAAGAGAATAAAGAGTTAGTGTTATAAACTAACAGCTCAAAGGTATATTTTCTTTCAGGGAAAATACTTTGTAATAGCGCCGTCTACTTTATTCTATAGGTAACGTTTATTAAAATCATTGATCGACTCTCAAGATGGTACGTAGAAAGACGTTGGTTGGCCTGAAAAAATTTTAGTGTAGTAACGTTTTTAAAAAAAAGAAAAAATGACCTATAGACGTATATCTTTGTCTCTTTTTTAGTGTCGCTTTTACGCTTCATTGTGTTTTACATTACAACTATTTCAAAATAGGTTTTCACTTCACAAATAAATAAATATAATTATCTCTTAGGCGTACATTACACGCTCATGCAGGCTGTCAGTTTTACAACAATCACGGCTGTGATTGACGAATAACCTACCGTGTAATGCAGTGCCTGCATGAGCGCATAATGTACGCCATCCGTTTTTTTTATAAACCATGATTGATGGAATTGATTGACGCCAGCATGAGCGTGTTAAATAAAAGTACGTTACGTTAAATAAAAGTAATTTTACGAATTTTATCGCGTTTTATATATTACATTCGTAAAATTAGTTTCATTTAGTGATAAAATCATAATTATATAAAATATTTATTTACTGAAAATTTTTACATCATATGTAATATTCGTCTGTAACGCATATATTCTAGAAATACTATAGTCATTTGAGGCTTTTTATAACATGCAGAAACAAAACTATAGATTTGAATATTATGTGTTAGGTATAATCAAGCAAGAGCCTAAAAATGTTTACCTAAATAAATTTAATAAAATACTGTTGAAATATATTTCGAGGAATAAGACTATACACCACGGATAAGAAATCGTGCAGATAATTGTCGGTGTTAAGGAAAATAACGTTATAGAGCAATATAATCGATTTCAATGAGAAATTTATTATGTTTTAACGTTGGAGAACATTTTCCCCAGTGTGTTTGTAAACTTGGTAAATTGATGTTAATGTAATAAATAAGGGAATACTTTATTTAAAATATGTTAAGTCTACCTTCATAAAACGCTAATACGTTGTAGAGTCAAGCTGCAGTTATATTATGGTTGTATTACGAATGGCTTGGCTCGACCGTGGCAGGACCACGCTCTCACAGAACTCCAGCGTAAAAAGCAGCTTGATGCTGCTGTGTTTCATATGGTATGTGTAAAGAACTAGAGACTCTTTTTACTGGATGCGAGGTATTACATCTTAGTCCTCAGGTGTAACAACGTATCTCCATTGTGATTGTTAATCGAGGATAGAAATGTAAATATCTTTGGGTCACAACATCCACTTGCCATCAGGTGGGCTGTGTGCTCGCCTGTCACGCATATTCTATAAAAAGATGACACCGCCCCTGAAGAAAAATCTATTTAATAAAACAAGAATCATCAAAATAGATTCATAATTGACGAAAATATCTTGTTACATTATTTTTTAATACAAAAACATAAAGTCTAAATATAGCTAAACCTACACTTTTATGAAGTTGGCTTAAAATGAAAACCGGTCGGTTTGCATTTACTGTTAACTATCTCATTCGACAACTTATTGTAAGTTACCATGAGAAGCTACAAAATTGATTTCCACGGTAATAAGTTAACTATATTTGGAGGCGATACCTTCACTTAAAAGAAATATAATTACAAGTCATATGTTAAAATATATATGTGTTAATTCTGACTCTCAAATACCTTACGTAGAATCATTAAAAAGAAATAAAATATATTTACTTCTTCAACGTAAGAAATACCAATTTCCTTAGTCAAAAACATTTTTATTTCAAGTATATTACCGGTTCCTTTAAAGAATGACTTTGATTATATAATTTGTTACTTTATAAAGAGATTTAAAGGCTTACGTAAATATGTGGTTGTCTTAGTTTTTTTTTACCTTGTACTATCAGTCGAAGTCAATTGTCAGTACAAAATGATTGTAAGATATGTGTTATCAACTGCTATCGGCTTATTCATCAATCGATAAGAAGTTCTTAAGAAAATAAATTGCCATATCGATGTTATATTAAAAATAGAACACTTATGATAAATTGAAAGTTTGAAATACATAGTCTATCTTATTGCATGGTTATAAGCCTCAAATTCACCCAACTGTTATGATGGTCCTTGATATATGACATTACGATCAACTTGAAAAAATGTCTCACATAACTGTCAATTTCTCCTTCAACATTAAAATCTCTCGATATACAGAATGCAAATTCAAATGGAAAATATTTTCAATGGAGCTTTGTATGTAAATGGCATGCATTTAAAAATGCATACAGAATGAAAACAGGCTTAGAACCGTGCTTTGCTGAATAATTTGTGGAACATTCAGCTGTGGACTTGTGATGGGCTGTAACGATGATGATCACGACGATATTAAAAACAAGTTATACGTGGTAGAGTCACGCTGCAGCTAAATTATAGTTGCAGCACGGATGGGTCCGTTCGACCGGGATAGGACCACGCTCTCACAGAACACCAGCATAAAATATTAGGTTGATGCTGCCGTCTGTTGTATGTTGAGCGCAGAGAACCGGATATCCTTTTTACTGGAAACGAGGCATTCCATCTTAGTCTCCAGGGATGACAACGCATCTGCATTTTGATTCTTAATTGTGGATAAATGTATATGTTTATAGGCTTTAGCATCCAGTCACCATCAGGTGGACTGTGTGTTCGTTTGTCACGCTTATAATATAAAATGTAATTTAATTAGAAACAAAAATTCAAAATGGACAAAATTTAATGATTTTTTCAGTAAGTTGCTTTTGTACTAGGTAAACGTGGTGACTAACGTACGTACTACTAGTGCTTTACTGACGACACGTTAAAGTCAAGCAATTTTGTGTTCTTAAAATGCCTCTATCATAACCATATTGCACTTATACGATAATATCAGTAAACCATCTTATATTTTCTAAAAAATATTTTATATTGCTACTTTAAAAAAACATTTTGAAAAACAATTATGTGGACATCCGGATGTTGATTTTGTATATCACACTGACTTCCGAAAAATTAACTTATCGGTACCGGGTTTTTTGTATTCAGAATTACATGAACTAGTTCCCTATTTCACATCAAATGCCTAGTACGCCTAGTTAGTTAATAAAATGATTTTCTACTTTTATAAATTTTATTTCAATCAAAATTTTAAAGGAGCTTTAATTTTTTATAGCCCTTGATAGACAAAGGACAAATGTACATTACAGCCTATATTTATTTATTTTATTGCTCTATACCTATATATTATATTTTAATTTATCGAAATGTTTTGTTTTCTAATTTTTGGCAATAGTGTCCTTAGGAAATTTATTCAGAATACTTGGAAGAGCTTCATTATTTAATTTTGGCAGTTTATACAGAGGCAAGTACGACAGGTTACGAGCAAAATTTGGCCCACTTCTTTTTTGTAATTGATTCACATTATGTTTACAGTAATCAGAGGCAACAGCTAGTTTCGCTTTATCAAATACATTTGAAACATTACAATATTGGAATAACATATCATAATCGGGTCTGTATTTGAGTTTAATTTTATATGGTACTATCATCTTTAATAATCGTATATATTATAGATTTTTGAAGTTTTTTCATTACGAAGAAAGGTTCTTTCATAACTGGTTATGTCTTAATTAATAGAAGAATCGGCACAACAATCTCAAGGTTCTGAAAGGCAATTTGTTCTTCAATATGCGCAATTTTGTCATGATAGCTCTAAGCTTAGTATACACAAATGCCACAACCACATGCGGGTCCCTGTTAAATTAAAGTTGAATTTTAGGGCGTAGAAACACATTTTTTAACATTTACAATCGGCTTACAGTCACAGATATTCATGCACCGTTGCGTACACTGGTATTCATGAGCCACGACTTTTGGTATTCCGTGTGTTTTTTAAGTATCGATTTTATACTTTATGTAATCGATCTATTTTGGTCAATATTATTATTTTTTCCCTGTAGGTGACACTACCTAACAAAATATTAGAGGACTAAATTTAAAACACGTAAATAATACATTTTAAAAGTCAGAAATATAATTTATTTTTTCATCAAAATTAAATGAAACGCTCACGAGGCGTGCACTTTTGGATTTTCCAAGTATTTTGCCGTTCGATTACTAAAAGGTCACGTATGTCGCAAGTAAATTTTAAGTACATGATATCAGCTCGTGGGTGTAGAAGCGACAGAGGGAAATAAAACTGGAAATGGTCAAAAAAAAATTAAAAAATCAAAATAATTTTAAAAAAAGCTGCGGCTTATGTATATCAATTAATATCAAATTCGTTCTGATGAATAGGGTTGGCTTATGTTTAGTAAGGGACTTTGAAAGGATGTGGTGAAAAAAAATCGTATACTTATAGTATAAAAATAAAAAATAATTATATGTTTTGTGGCTTTTCTTAGAGGAGTCCTGTCTTCAGCAGTAAACTTGTGAAAGGTTTTCTTTTTTAGTACGAGTATAGGGTGACAAACGAGTACACAGTCCACCTGATGGTAAGTGGTTGCTGTGTCCCATAGACATCTACATTATATATATATATATATATATATATATATATATATATATATATATATATATATATATATATATATAATATAGCACTCCGATCAAGCAGACCCATTTTTGCTACAACCATATAGCTGCAAACATGGCTCTACCACGTATAAAACGTTGTAATGGTGATGATTGTTATGACGATCATAATTAAGACTGACAAACTATTCTTTCATTGACGTATACCGAATACAATATCATTCTTTATTAGCTTGTGATAGTCTCCTGCTAGACATTTTTGTATAGCATTGTGTGAAAACGATGGTTCTCTACACTCCCCATACGAAACACTGAAGTATTACACTGCTTTTTTACGGTAGTATTCTGTGAGCGTGGTCCTGCCCCGGTTGAGCCGACCCATTCGTGCTCAAACTAAAATATAACTGCAGCTTGGCTCTACTACAAAAATGAATACACCACGTACCATGAATCTGCCGTATTCTTTTATTTTTTATTGATTTAATTTTTTCATTACTGAAAAGGAGGACAAATTGCCTCCACGATACAGAAAAAAATTCTAATGGCGACAGTGGGCATATCCTTTTTTTACAAAACTGATGAGACAAACGTTTATACGTGTGGAGTCATGTTTGCAGCTATATGGTTGTAGCAAAAATGGGTCGGCTCGACCGGAGTGCTAACAGCTTAATGCTGCTGTGTTTCGTATAGTGAATATGAACCGGAGACCCTTTTCACTAGATACGAGGCAATCCATCTTGGTCCTCAGGGGTGACACTGCATCTGTATTTTAATTCATAATCGAGGATAAATGTATATGCCTATGGGCTATAGCATCCACTTACCATCAGGTGGGATGTATGCTTGCTTGTGACGCGTATTCTATAAAAGAAGAACTTACTGTCTATCTGATGGTAAGTGGCTAACTAAGCACTATGTATATTACGTATATAACTATATTTATTTGCCTATTTATTATTATGTAAGTCTATCTTATTTTTATAGCAGATATATTTTAGTGTATAAAATATTTTGTTATTATGTATCGGTTTACTTTATTTATGTATTAGTATGTAAGTTTCTTATAATATACACCACCTCCCACTCTCCAATAGTACCATTTTCTCCTAATCTTAAGGTTGTCTGGAAGAGATCGCTTTTTTAGCGATAAGACCGCCTATTGTACATACTTTTTAAATATTACTTCCCTTAATCTGTTTTTTTTTTATAGTTTTGTGGTGCACAATAAAGTATAAATAATAATAAGCCAAAGCCTAAGCAGGTAAGGAGCCATACGACGTAAATATATAATTTCTAAATATTAAAAAAATATGTAATAATATTTTAACTTACGTCCTCCTTAGACTTGTCAGTCATTGCCACGATTGCCATACTGATGTTGACCCTCATTGCATACGCAAACACCAAGGCAAGGAACAGCATCATGCACTGCACGTGACGAATTCCAAGCAGTGACTCTGGAAACATCAATATTATAATTTTTTTTAAAAAACCTTCCTTTTGTAGTGGCGATGGGAATAAAATAGAATAGAATAATTTATATTCAATATAGATTATTACATAAAACCTATTAAAAGTAATTTTTTATTTAACGGTTCCGTGACGCAGTGGCTTACTAATGAGTTGTAGCGATAAGTACCACGGGTTTGAATCTCGCACGGTACAAGTATTTGAATAGCCTACAAATATTTGTTCCGTGTCTGGATGTTTGTCCTCGTAAAATTTACGTATGTAAACTATCCCCAAGAAATAGGAGAAAATCCTAGTAACCTGGTTTGATAATCTTGGTAACGTTTAAAAAAAAGAAAAATACGTAAAATACACTACATGAATTTACCACAGGTTTGGAAAATACCTATGTTCTGGAATTAACCAGTAAAAATCCAGCGGGACTATTTTTAAACATACCTATATAATAAATAAAATAAAAATAAAGAGCCTAATAAGTTTTACAATCTTAATTAAAATTGTAAAACTTTTTAAAATGTTATTGGCATTTTATAAAGGAAATTACAAATATAAATTTAGATTTATTTTATAATTTTATTAAGTAACAATTGTTGAATGAATTTAATTGAGTTAATTATTATCATAATTCTGAAAATTACAATATTTTCATAATATTTACTTAAAATCTAAATATGCATTAAATAAGTAACATTAATATGTTTTTTAATCTAAGTAATTGATTTATAAAACTTAAGTGACTATTTTAAATAGATTTCGTTTTTTTTTGTAACATTATAAATAGGATAAAATTAATTTAAATTAGTTGCAAATTGACACAATATTTTAATTTTATTAAGGATCCGTACACTTTTTACTTATTTGTGTTTGTTTGCTTTGCATGGACCCCCCTTAGGTGAAGGCCTCCACCAAAGATTTCCATATGTCTCCGTTTTGTCATGTCATGTCCAACGTGGTCCCGCGATCTTTTTTATGTCATCTTCCCAGCGCATGTATGGTCTGCCTGGGCGTCTTTTTAAAAACATACCTAATTTAACTGTACAGTAATTTTGTACAATTTATAAATGTATTTTAATAGAACCAGCATGGTGGCGGTCATCCCAGGGGCTATTTTCATTCACGTAATTCTTCATACTATAATACAAAAACTTTTGGTAGATCCAAATATGCATGCCTTAAGTGCTCATGTATACAATACAAAAACTTGTATTTAAAAAAGTATTTCAAATACTCACAAGTTTTTACAAATATTTACTTTAATTTTCCGATAATTATATGTCAAACGTCAATAAAAAAGTTTGGAAAACCCAAAAGTGCTCGTATGATTCGTGCATTTTTGGATTTTCCTACCTTTTTATCAAAATTTTAGGCAGACCTCTTCTCGCTATAAATAACTTTAAAGTTAGCAGAAAGGCGTCTTTCTACCAACTCTTCGCTTGCGACTTCAAGAAGGATGCTTTTGTATCGAAAGCAAATAAAAAAACTTTTGGTAAATCGAAATACGCATGCCTTAAACGCTCGTTGAGATACTTTGAGCTTCCTCATCCTGCTGCTAGTGAAGGACCACGTCTCAGATCCATAGGTCACAACTGGCAACACGACCTGGTTGTACAATCTAGTTTTGAGACTTCGAGGTATGCCTGCCGAGGTATGCGAGACGTGTCGCAATCTCCGAATTCTACATCATTTATCTTTCTGGCAATGTGCTTTTTATATCATTTATATGTTCAATATTATTGTTAGATACGATTTCATGCGACAAAACGTTGAATTCTTGATGTTAGGCGCTAGTAAAAAATACCTACGCGCTTTGCGCTTAAGGCATGTGATAACCCTTTTTAATAAATTTTTCTTTACTACTGTTAAAGTTAAGGATTGACAAACTTTGAACATTTAAATGATAACGTATGGATCTTCTCTTTACTGTAGATATTTGAGGAAGATATTTTTTTCAATTCATAGCCATCTTACTACAGCTAATGCCATATCCTTCTAGGATTTTGTTTTATAGGAAAGGGGGCAAACGAGTATACGGATCATCTGATGGTTAGTGATTACCGCTGCTAATAAACAATTGTAACACCAGAGGCGATGCAGATGCGTTACCGGCCTTTTAAAAAGGAATAGGCTCTTTACTTGTAGGTCCCTTACTCGTATCGGTCCAAAAAATCTATGGTGGTAGTCGATTTCACAAGGAAGTTGTGCGAGGAAGAAAACATCGTGGTGGATCGCCAGTCATACAGATGATATGGATGTTATCGTGAGTTTTTGGGAATGTGAAATTGTACGGCTGGAATTAGTTCGAACAATTTCTTAGAGCATTTCCCATGGTAAATGCGATAAAATACGCAAAGACAGCAATATCTGTTCGCAGATACCAGTTTGGCCTTCTCTTCCAAGTGACCACGAAACTGCACGTCACTCGATATATCAACGCCAAGAATTCCGTTACTAACTTCCGCTAAGACAACAAGTGTTCCTTTTGTTACTCGCCGAAGTTTTACTGAGAAATATTAACACGGCCGGTGTATAAAGCTTCACCAGTGCTGTCGTGTGCATATCAATGAATATTACCATTTTACAATATATCATTGATTTGCAGAACCACACACACACACACACACCAGCGTTAATGTGCTTGTAGTCGGAGCATGCATCGTCTACTACAACCTTGATGCTCCGATCTTCAAGAAAACTGGTGATCCAATGAAGCGTAAGAAGTGCTTTGTGGCAAACCCGATCGAAGGCCTTCACCTTCACTATGTCCAAACTAACGGCCAAAGCTGCCCTCCTGGACTCTACTGTCTCCGCCCATCTATAAGTTAGGTAGCCCAGAAGATCACCAGCTGAGCCACCTCAACGAAAACCGTACTCGCGGTCACTAACCCGCTGGTGATCCTCAAGGTACCTTATGAGCTGGCAGTTAATAAAGGGTTCCGTTATTTTGGAGAACAAGGAGGTGATAGCGATGGGCCTATAGTTAGATGGATCTGAGTGATCGCCTTTTTTGGGATCGGGTGCACTAAACCTAGCTTCCATGTTTTCGGAACTACGCTTAGGGAGTACCGGAGACGTACCGGAAAAGACGCGATAAAACTGGTTCCAACTCTGAAGCACACGTCCTTAGCACAACGGAGACGCCATCAGGCCCACTTGACTTGTAGACGTCCAGGGAGAGTAGTGCTCTGCTGGGTAAACAGCACATTCTGCATGGAGCATTCACACCGTGGGGTGATCAGCGATGTGTTTGCCCCGTCATCAAAAGTCGAGTCAGATGCAGAAATGGAGGAGATGGCTGAGAGAAGTTCCTTTGGACATCCTTGGAATCCAAACTAGTTTCTCGCCAATTCTGCTGATATGCTCTGACTTTACCTTGGCAATGATACTATGAAATACCTGGAGTCTGAGTGCTGGTATTTTCACATCTTGAGACGTCGATGCGTGAGCCCAGGTCTGGTAGCAATCTTGCTTATGGCGTAGTGCAATTTTACAGGAGCGACCAAACAATGGCCGGGTTCTGCCTCCGATAGGTACCACAGATGATGAAATAAAAAGTTCCATTCCGTGAAGCGCCGTAATTTGTCCGTTAATTTTGTTTGTAGAAGGATACGAATTACCTTTAATTTTCTAGTCTTTATCAAAACTTATCTCCAGGTAGGATTGTAATCAAGACCTGTTTATTATAAGTTAAGTATAAAACATTTTGAATAGTGACGTAATCGCAACAAAAACCCCTAAGAAAAAATCCCATTTTCATAAAATTTTTTGTGCAGGGAGTTTCGGGGGCAATAAAATGATTACAAATAGCTTAATTGGTATATTGGGCGGTCACAAGTAAAGAGCCCAGACCGACCGACCGACTTTTTTAAATTTTTTTTTCAAGTTTCTTTTTTTGAGAAAATCTATTTTTTCGTGCCCTTTATTAAGTATTTTTTAAAAACACGAAAATTTAAATTAAACTAATTGCACTCATGATTTTTTATTTAAATAACCAGTTCAGTTTTTTTATTATTTCGCTACGATCAAAAATATTATTCGTATTTCATCAGTATATAATATTATAATATATAATTCGTGTGTTTTGGAAATTATATCTAAATATAACTTCCAAAACACACGAATTAAAAAAAAACAGAGCGAAAAATACAAAATTCAACCGGGTACTGATATATAAATTAAATAAATATTTAATTCTTGACATTTCCTTACGAAACACAAAAGTAATAATACAATAAACTACGCCGGTATACTGTGATGGCGTATTGTATCTAAAAGGGTTGATAAAATGCCAGTGGTTTGACTAGCTTTCTAACATACTAGTCATTAAATTAATTCTTCCCTAAAATATTTAACAAATTTCTTTTAATTTTTCTTTCTCTCTCCATCATCGAAAAACTGCCGTTGCAGTAGGACTCCAGCTTTTTGATATCGATATTCCATGCATTAGAATCAAACGGTTTGCTTCATATTTTAAAGAATAGGGGAATAATTAGCCAGCATTTATTTTTCAGTTCAATTTCAATCTGAATGTCATCAAGGCAAGAATGAACAGGTTTTTATTACACTAAGACACTACGATTGACTAGGGCTTCATCACTGTTTAGTTAAAAAAAATTCAATAACAACACAGTTTGCACATTATTTAACTATTTTGTTAAGTTTTCTACTTTTATATCCGTAGCTAATTTCATTTATTTATAATATTAACATATAACTAATATTTTAGAAAGAAGTCTTAACCCTTACGTTTCCCTGATAAAATAACTTCTCCTGCTATGAAATCTGTCTAATATTTTACCTCACTTCCAAGTGACACCTCCCTGGTGGCAGAACCATAGAACGAAGATCATTGAAAATTCGCTTATCTTTGGCATACGTGGGAATGAGATAAAAATACAACTACAATATGCGTGACCTTCTTTAACGCTACCGGTGCTGGAAAAACAAGTTTATAATTTAATGTACATGTACGTTGTCCCTGCCTCATAAG